CGTCTAGATCACTCGATATCTCAAGAAATTCCTTTTGGGATTTATATTGCAGGTGACTAATCACATTAATATCAATTTATGTAATTTCTTTAAAACTCTCATTAATGTAATTTCTTTAAATTCGTGTATCTGAATTGCGTTTTCATGACCCATCATTTCCCTCTACGACTCCATTTTGGGTCACGATCCCCAGTTTAACAAACTCTGTTCTAAAGTAATAAAACCTTGGAAGAATACTAATAACGTGTTTAGAGATAAAGTGTTTGAAAACTTACAAACTACTTATCTGAAAATTCTCTCGGTATACTAATAGTAACAAAGCTATAAAATAAAAAAGGTTACACACTCGTAAATCAGGAAAGAAAATCACTGAATGACATTTAAAGGTAAAAAAATCAACCTCGAATTATTCTAATTTATTTCGTAACCGACCCCTTAAGGCAAGTTGGAAATTAAATACAAATTTGAAATTAAAATTTCAGTAAATTTTTGTTGTATGAGACTCAAACATTTTATTTTCCACTGTTATAGTAAGTTTCAGATTTTCCTAAATATAAGTATAGAGTTAGGGAAAACACACAGAAAGTTAGACTTCGTAATTTTTAAAAATGATTTTTCAAATTAAAAAAATATTTTCGTCATTCGAAAATACCACGTTTGTGAACATGGTTTACATCTCTTATGTTATTGTGAACGTTATTTAAATCAATGAGATTTAAAAGTATAAAAACGTATATTAAAAAAAAAAAAACTGTGTTTATTGCTTTACAGTCACTCGTTTGCTATTTTGTAGGAGATAGATTAAATGGGAAAGTTAAATATCTTACACTTCGCTGAATGGCAATACGCTTCTGGGTGGAGATAATAAGTATTTTATTTGAGACAGGGGCAGCACATTGCTTTCGAATATCCAAATCTGTGGATTAAAATTGAAAAGTAAAATTGAAAGGAAATATCTTACATTTTGTCGAATGGCAACAGTTTGGTACACTAGAAGTAAAAATATTTTATTTCAAACAGTGTTGTCCCTTCTCGCTTTCAAATCGCTTAGTTTGTCCAATAACATTCGTTAAATTTGTACAAAATATGAAATAAAGCAAAAACAAATTCAATATTCCAAATTAGGCCTCGGGGTGCCCATGTTAGGGTGGAGGACTACATATATTAAAAATTCGGTGGCTCTAGGTGTCATCGTTTCTCCACAATGGGAGAAATATATATGTATATATACTGTTACTTCATTATTTAAATTTTGTAATAATATATCATAATAACATTTGGCGACCACAATTTGGAAAGTGATATGGACTAAGTGTGCGTATTGAGACTTATAGTACCTCTGGTGAAAAGAGTTCGATCAACCTAAATCATAAAATAAATTAAAAGATTAAATTTATGCTATTAATTGTAAAATTCAAATTTCTGAAATGAATGGTTTAATTATTGTATACGTATTCCTGATAAGAAAAATAGTTTCGTAGTTTTAATGAAACTACTATTTAATAGGTATTTATTTTTATTTAAATATATTTTTTGAATCAACAGAATATTAAAATTTTTCATCGAAAAAAAAAAAAAAAACTCTTCCGAAAGTTTTTATTTTTACCTCTCCATGTCATTGACCATTTAAAAAATTAGACAAGACTAAAAACTTATGACGGAAAATTAAAATTTAATTTCTTTTTTTAATCACAAAAAAGAATTTTATTGATTTTATATTACTTTTAAATACTTAAAGCTTTGTAGAAAATTAAAATAGAATTCTATAGAATTCTTTAGAAATATGGGCCACTTTTCTGTAAGATGAATCTGATATTTTAAGTAGAATTCTATTAGTTGATTTTATACGCATTAAATAAGATTCTGTGAGATCTTTAGAAATTCTATATACAACTTCTGCACTAATGTTTGTAAAATATCTAAAAATAAAATCTCTATACATGTATCTTTAGAAGCTGCATCTGAAATTTTAAAGAATTCTATAAATTTTTGACTTACTAATTTACAGAAAGTTGTGCCATAATTTTAAAGGACTAGAAAGAAGTTTAACGTTGCATTTTTTTTTTCATTGTGTTTTGTAGGGCAATATTTTATGGTAAGAGTAAATGAGATTTAGTAACACTGGAAAGTTTTAATTTGTAGTCTCTTCTCTACCATTAAATAATGAAAAATGTGTTTGAATGTGCGTAGAATTACCCAGTTTTGAACACACGTAGTCCTCCATCTGAATATGTGCTCTTCGAAGCCCGAATTTTGAACTATTGTTTTTGATTTTTTTCATATCTTGTAAGAATTTAATGAATCTTTGATTAATAAACTCAACAATTTTAAAGCAAAGAGTGGCAACACTATTCGAAGTAAAACATTTTTATCTCCAACGCGCCAGACTGTTGCCATTCGGCAAAATGTAAGATATTATTCTTTCAATTTTATTTGGAGTTTGTTGAAGATTATTAAAAGCAATGCGTTGCCACTACCTGAAATAAAATACTCTTTATCTCCGACGCGCCAACCTGTCGTCATTCAGTAAAGCGCAAGATTAACTTTCAGATTTAATCTACTTGTTATTGATTTACTAACCAGACGAGTGAAAAGCAATAAACGCAGTTCTTAACAATATTCTTTTCCACTCTTTAATCTGATTGATTTAAATAAAATTGCATTTCAATCATGCGATGTTTAATTACAGATATAAAATATTTTAATGAAATGACGCTAGATGGACTCATTACAATCATTATATATATTTTTCTTCTTTATGAAACTCTTGTTGCATCAAAAATTCTTGCTATTACCTTTATTGCCTATAACACTTAATATACGGCAAAAGCAGATGTATTCTCAGAAGAAATAAGAAAACGTAAGCTTGAAACTGCCCTGCTATCATCTTTTATTTCAAACGAAATCTTTTCGATAAACTTCACAGCCACACCTAGAACGCAACTAATACTATGGGGGGGGAAACATGCTTGAGAATGAAAAAAAAAAAAAAAAAAAAAAAATTCAAACTTCACCAGATTTATAAAAGTTCGAAACTCAAATGCAGATTACCATCTGAATATTTTATAAACGTCTAGCTAAGAGTTTTAACAGCGAAGTAGGAAGAGTAGAAGAGGCTGTAATTTCTTCATCGTCAGATTCGGAATAATAGGCAATGGCCTACCAGTGAAGCGTTTACTACAACGGAGGTCATTTCCTGTTGAATTCTCCGCCACTTGCAAATGAATAGAACGCCGCCGAAAGGCCAGAAGGCGGCAAAGTTGCAGAGCAGAACAACGCCTCACTCGCCTTTGATAGCTACTTTAAATTGCTATTCTCCGGTGGATGATAGTAATGTGTTTGTTTATTTTATTTCGCAACATTTTTAATGTACTCATAAAAGGTTTTACAAGCCTTTAAATCCGACGCCTGCTATGCCAAGAAGGCCAATTATCGGCACGCGCTGTTGTAGTTCTTGGACAGTTATTTTGAATTCTAATTAGTGTCTCTGTCACCGCATGGCAGCGCTTTTACGAAAGAATATAATTGCTTTTTTATGAAAGTTCGAATAATGTTAATTAGTATTTTTAGCTCTGAAGACTTTTACTTGGTAAATACTCTGAAATAAGAAAAGAAATCTGCTGAGTGCTTGCAAACATGATTAATTTGATTTATTTGCTGAGAATTAGAAGAACTTTTTTGGGGGTAGAGGGCATTAACGATTGGATTTTTTTTTTTTTTTTTTTTTTTTTTTTTTTTAGCTTTGATTTACTTCATTTGTTATTTTAAAAAATTCGATTTATTTCATTTATTTAGAATTAAGGAATTTTTCTTTGTCTTAGAAACACGAAGCAGTTTACTTAATTATACCTTCGATTTAGTATTTAATTTAACACACATGATTAGTTCGACTTCTATTTAAAATTAAACGATTGCTTGTCAGTGGCATTCGGTTAAGACAAATGATGTAATAATAGTTCTAACTAAAACTTTAGATTGTAATTTGTTCTAATATAATGCTTTCCGAGAAACACACATGTTATAGATTTAGTCGAACAAGAACGTAAAAATTTTATTAAGCAGTTTAAGCAGTAATGAAATATCTATTCACAATACATCTGCAAATAATTTTGGCGATTGGTTTCATAATTTTATGATTATAATCTTTCTGTATTTTTCATTTATATAATTATGGTTTTCTTATTTAAATAATATAAATTTGTTTGAAATTTATATAATTATGAGATTTATATAATTATGAGAAGTTTGAAAATAATTTTTTCTTGGACTACCCGCAGTGATCATTTAATTAAAATACTGATCAACGCATTTCAAGTGATCGCAACTCAGAATTTCTGGCAGTATCTCTCACAATTCACTGTAGGATTTTCTTCGAAATTTACGAGAAATATAACCTGAATTTTGCCGAATATTAAAATTAATAAATGCTGCAATTGTATTTCCTTTGATAGTACAGCTAAAAAACAGCTAGTATTACCGTACTAAGCTAAATAATGTATGGATGAAACAAAATACGAGAAATTAATTCTACAATTTATTGCATTTTGACTTTAACGGTTAAACAGACCGTTGAGTTTTCCTGACAATTACAGTAGTTCACACTTCCTTTAGAACACATATGTTTTTCAGTTTTATTTTCAAATATCAGTTACTAAATATTATAGAAATGACTTTCCCCTTCCACGTGTACTATTGATCAGCTTTTTTAAAACCTGCATGTTTTTGAAAATGTTATTCGAAACTTTTCGGTAAAAAAAAAATTGTTCAAAACGCTCTGAAAATGAATTCACATAAGTATTCGGACACTTTTAACAACAAGTTGATATTAAACAAAACATGAAATTAACGAGACATCCAACATTTCGTTAAATTCTCTTCAACTTAAATTATACTTTGGAATGGATTTAACTAATTTTTTGAAGTGTGAATTTTTGAAGTGTGCTTTTATTAGAATTTTCGAAGAAATCTCATGTTTACTTATTCTTTTTTCCAACTTATAGGATTTGAATCCATTGAATACGGAAGAGTTTTGGTACCTTCAGAACAGTTGTATAATAACCGTAAGCGAATATTTAGGGTTGTATGTTTAGGATCTTTTTTTGATAGAACTTGAATTAAGTTTTTTTCAATTGCTCTTAGGTTTTCATTAAGAATATTTGTACATTTATACTAATCCATATATTTTTCTTAAAAAGTAAATTTCCTATCGCAGAAGCAGCGAAAACCGAGACCTTCTTACTGTCATGCTTAACAACAAGCAATAGGTTTTTCGGATTTCAATTCTCCATTTGACTTTCACATTTTGCTTCTCAGCAATTCGTCCATTGGACCCAAATATATTAAATTTCGGCTTTTCTACAAATATAGGCATTATTTCAATATTATAAATCACTGCTTGCCGGGTATTTCCATTGTTTTCATATTAAGAATTTTCTTCTCCCTGATCACTCACTCTAGGCACGTGCCCTAATGACTTTGCTACAGGGCTAACTATTTTTACAAACCTTTCTTCTAAATCTGCTGCAAGTTTCATAGCACTAATTTTGGGTTTTCTTTGATTTTTTTAGGATAAAGTGGTGGCGCGTGTTACATTTGATATATATGTATATATATAATAAGATTTATATATGTATAATAAGATGATATATATGTATATATATAATTTTTTTTTTTTTTTTTTTTTTTTAAAGAAGAGGGCCTTACGTCTCAAGGCCTTTGAAATCAGTTTATTTAGTCAAAATCTGCACCAAAATGAGGCTGCAAGAAGATAAATATCATTTTATTTATAATTTATATACAGCTATTTTTTGCCTAATTTTAAATTTTACATTACATTGACGTGATTCATTTTCAGCTTTATTACATCTTTGATTTATTTTTCAAATTTAATCAGTAGCTAAATAGGCTAAGCATTTTAAAGACTGTAAATGGATTTCCTGAGAATTTACTAAGTTCATTTACTTCAATTCGTGAGCAATTTTAGTTTTATTTTAATAACATGCTTAATAGATGTAATTTTAAATACATTTAATTTATAAAATGTCCGATTGAATTATTTTTAACAACATTTGCAACGATTTTCGCTACGATATGTAGTATTTCGTACCTAATAGAGAATTGTTTAGTTCCAAAATCACCAACTGAAGCAACTTAACTTCCCTTGAAACAAAAAATTATCTCTTCTTTTATCTCACTTCATCGATACGTCATCTTGATGGTTAGCCATAAGAACAAAAATAGAAAACTGCTGGTGAAAACAACACATTACCATTAGGAGGCGCTTCTCGGCATACTCCATTCCGATGCCAGATAAAAATATTTTGCAGAGTAATTTTCCTATCGACGAAAGCGGATTTCCGCGTGCTTTCTTTTGTAATGAACTGTCATTACATTCTCCGTTTTCCCCCGATTTGCAACCCTTCGACGCCATTGTGTTCTGATAATAAAAAGGATAAGGGATTCTCAATATGGGTAATTTCATTGTTACGAGCTTTCAAATGCTTCGAATTTTCATCATGTAACAAATAATTCTACTGCTCGAATTGAAATACTTCTTGTTCTGCAGTGTGGAATTTGCACATTTCTATTTTGTAAAAGCATGTTGTAATTATATGGAAGTACAATGATGAGTTTAGCTGCTTTTTTAGAGCATGTTTGGAAGTGGCTTATGAAAAGGAATTGTACTCTTGAATATCCGTAAAAAAAGAGATTAATTCTCTTAAGAGTTTTGAGTTTAAAATCATTTCAGACGTTAAAATCGAAACTGAGGTTATCAGTTAGTATAATTTATTGCAATTCGTAAATCTTAATTTTTAAAATTTTGAAGTGTTCTATGCGTGGAAAGGCGTTTGGAAGTGCTGTTTAACGAGTAACAGTGAAGTTAATTAAATTAAATAGTAAAAATAATTTAATGTAAATTTTGAAAATTAAATTTTAGATTAAGATCTATGAGGGGGGAAAAATTTTTCTATCTCAAAACTTTAGATAACAGTCTGCAGTTGTTCTCAACCCTTTTGCGCCCCTTCTTTTCCAAAACTCGACAAATACATATAAGTAGTTAATTTACATTTAAATAATAAGTAAATAAAAGTAGTTAATTTACATTTATAAACTAAAACTAAATACTCATCGCATTCCCTTCAACGAAACAATAAAATCTTCTCCCACGTGGAATTCCACTCTGTTCAAGAACCACTGGTCTAATATTCTCAATACAGAATTTACCATTAAAAATTTCAAAAATACTTTTGAAATAAAAATTGAAATGCAAATATTAAAAAATAATAATAAGAAATTTAATCTAAATATATAAGAATTTAATATCTGATTTTTGCATTCAGACCGATCAAATGTGCCCAGGTAGTGGCGAAGTGGTTAAAGACATTTGAATACTGGGAGTTCTACTTGGGTTCGATCCAATTCCCCAAGCACTCAAACGATTTTGATGCCCCCAAATACATTTACTCCTGGGTTTCTGCACATTTTTTCTTTCTCTGTCTTGGTTTAACTTCATCACTTCGTGGTAAAACAGGCAATGAAAACTTTTGTGATGACCCTTTCCTTGAGTTCCTCATAACTTTTTGTCGGCTCATGACCCTTTCCTTCATACCTTACCCACGTGCTTATTTTACTTAGGGTTAAACCAACTTTGCTTCCATCCCAGGCTAACGAGCTACCCGTATGGTTGGTTCTCGGAGTTTTCCCCATGTGTAACTTAAATACAAACAAATTTTCCATAGAAAGACATCTCTCCCCTCACATAGATAGCCCTCACGCGCTTTGCTGTATTCGGATAACTTAGTTTAATTAAATATGTGAGAAAATTTCAAGCTAAACAATTACGCTAGACCTACTAAAAGATTATTTCAAAGAAATTATAGCTACATCTATATATATATATCTGTCTATCTATCTGTATAGACAGATAGATAATGGATATAGGTATATACATACATATATATATACGTTACACATATACATAAGGACATAAGACTATATATTTAAAAGAACTGTTCCAAATAGCAGTGCCAAATGGTAAATATAAGAAATTTAGTATTACATTACTGTGTCATAAATGAACGTTAAGTAGAAATTTTTTGCACTTATTTAATTGAAAGGGGGGGAACTTAATTTTTCAAGACAGCTGCTCTCAGTTTCTCGCTGGATAATTTTCACGCGTCGTTTACAAGAAATATTTCATGCAAATAATAGGCTAAAAATTTCTATTTTATTAGAATACAAAATTTGGATAGTGAAAACAGTAATAACTTCTTTAAGATGTTAAAAAGAAATTAACAAAACATGATATTGCAGGTACAAAAAAATTTATTTTTCTTCCAAATAATTTTAGTTCTTTTAATAACATAATAGTCTAAATGTTTTATAAATGTATTTTAAAATATCTGTAAATTTTTAACCCATCTTTGAAGACTAACTTTAATCTCAATTTTTATATAGAGCGGCGGTTCTCAATTTTTTTTTCCTCATGCACCACTTTTACCAGTGCTAGCCGATCATCCGTCTTTCCTTTCAGAAATTCCAAAAACACATATACATTTATTTAAATTTAGGTTATTTTTTATACAGTGTTATATAAATTAAACAAGAAAAAGTATTAAAAGGTTGATAAAAACCAAAACATGAATAAGAGTGGTTTTTTTATTATTTTCATAAACTAATTCTAAATACGTGACTGGTAACTAAAAGGCTGACCGCTTTCTTCCCTAGAATTTGTGAACCCCCCCCCCCGGTGGAGAACCTTTGATAGCGTGCACATAATTAGGTTATAAAACTACAGAAGTTGCTGAATATGTTTTCTAGTTGAAAACCAAATTGACTGTTATTTTAAAACGTTATTTGGTCCTATACTATTTGCATTTCAGTTTCCCTGGCATTTAAGGAAATATTCATCTTTAATTTGAATACATTGCTTACAAAAAATTTTCACACCAATTTCTTTTTATGAAAATAATTTTCTATATCTATGTTTAACAGCTCATTTATCTAACTATGCCACTTTGCTCTAGAGGAGAAATCAAAATAAGGTTAAAATTCTGCGTAATTTTTTTAAACTGCCGTTAATCGATCGCTTATTCAATCGTAGAACTTTTAAATATTTTTATGCCTTCTAACTGTTTCTAATACTTTTTTTAAATATTTTTTGTCTAAATAATTTTGTATAATTTTTTAGCCATTACTCATGAAATGGGTTTCTAGAAAATTCAAGTTGCTTCATGATATGAAACTAAATGAAATCATCAGCCTACCGGCAAAATTGTGAATCGATCTCTCACTGATTTTTGCATGATTGAAGAATAAATATACAGACTAAATTTCCTTTTCATGCAGATGCTCCAAAATTAAAGAGACAAATTTTATTAGGTGAAACAACCAATAATAAATACTTTTTGTCACAGTATGCATGGTCGTACGTTAGCGGTAAGGCGGTCAAACGATGGAAGACGTTTTCCGTTTTTCCACACATGCAGTCTTTTCCCAGGTGCGAAAATAAAAGCGGTAGTTTGCGTATGCACTGCCATCATTCTTTTTGTATACAGATCTGTTATGTGTATGTAATTTGCCTATATATATATATATACCTTCCGGTTATAGTTTTTGAGTTGATGGCTTTCGTAGTTGGTTCTTTAATTTATCTTCTTTTAATTTATAATGGTCTTGGAGTTCAATTTTAAATTTATTTTAGTTATATAATTCCCGGGTTTAACATACAGAGAATGCACCCCTTCCACGGGAAGCGCGCAGTTGAAAAATCATAATTCGAACTTTTGGAGGTACAAAATGCAGTGGATTTACAATTTCATGTACTCCCATGGATTGTAAAAAGTATTCTTAAAATCGCAAATGGGAATTGGCATTAAAACTAGCAAAACAATTTGGGATCAATAGAATAATTCATAAAAACGTGTAGTTGTAAGCTGGAGGTTCATAAAAACGAAAGCTGACTACATATCAACCAAATTTTGTCAGAGAGAATTCCGTTAAGATAAATAATCGAAGCTCACTTACTATTCTTTAGCCATAAGTTATAATACAGGACTTT